ATGATGTTGCTTTAGTTTCTAATGCTGTTGAAGCTGCACTTTATATTGGTTGTTGTTGAGTATGAAACTTAATAGCAACGATTGAAATGCCATTGCTTCAATGCTCTTTAACAACAATTGTTAAATTGGCAATGTTTAGTGCGGCATGCTTCAATGGTTGCAAAAACACACACATACATACATGCTGACTTGTTTAGAAACAGGAATCATCTTTCCACGAATTGTTAAAAATGTGTGCGTAGATGTTGAGGTAAATAAAAAAGTCTAACAAGTTTATTACTGCAATTGTTGTATGAATTTTTCGTAAGGACTCAGCTGTAGTTCAGTTCTAGTTCAGTTCTAGATCAGTTCTAGTTCAGTTCTAGTTCAGTTCTAGTTCTAGTTAGTTCTAGTTCAGTTCTAGTTCAGTTCTATTTCAGTTCTAGTTCAGTTCTAGTTCTAGTTCAGTTCTAGTTCAGTTCTAGTTCAGTTCTAGTTCAGTTCTAGTTCAGTTCTAGTTCAGTTCTAGTTCAGTTCTAGTTCAGTTCTAGTTCAGTTCTAGTTCAGTTCTAGTTCAGTTCTAGTTCAGTTCTAGTTCAGTTCTAGTTCAGTTCTAGTTCAGTTCTAGTTCAGTTCTAGTTCAGTTCTAGTTCAGTTCTAGTTCAGTTCTAGTTCAGTTCTAGTTCAGTTCTAGTTCAGTTCTAGTTCAGTTCTAGTTCAGTTCTAGTTCAGTTCTAGTTCAGTTCTAGTTCAGTTCTAGTTCAGTTCTAGTTCAGTTCTAGTTCAGTTCTAGTTCAGTTCTAGTTCAGTTCTAGTTCAGTTCTATCAGTTCTAGTTTCAGTTCTAGTTCAGTTCTAGTTCAGTTCTAGTTCAGTTCTAGTTCAGTTCTAGTTCAGTTCTAGTTCAGTTCTAGTTCAGTTCTAGTTCAGTTCTAGTTCAGTTCTAGTTTCAGTTCTAGTTCAGTTCTAGTTCAGTTCTAGTTCAGTTCTAGTTCAGTTCTAGTTCAGTTCTAGTTCAGTTTCTAGTTCAGTTCTAGTTCAGTTCTAGTTCAGTTCTAGTTCAGTTCTAGTTCAGTTCTAGTTCAGTTCTAGTTCAGTTCTAGTTCAGTTCTAGTTCAGTTCTAGTTCAGTTCTAGTTCAGTTCTAGTTCAGTTCTAGTTCAGTTCTAGTTCAGTTCTAGTTCAGGTCTAGTTCCAGTTTTCTAGTTCAGTTCTAGTTCAGTTCTAGTTCAGTTCTAGTTCAGTTCTAGTTCAGTTCTAGTTCAGTTCTAGTTCAGTTCTAGTTCAGTTCTAGTCAGTTAGTTCAGTTCTAGTTCAGTTCTAGTTCAGTTCTAGTTCAGTTCTAGTTCAGTTCTAGTTCAGTTCTAGTTCAGTTCTAGTTCAGTTCTAGTTCAGTTCTAGTTCAGTTCTAGTTCAGTTCTAGTTCAGTTCTAGTTCAGTTCTAGTTCAGTTCTAGTTCAGTTCTAGTTCAGTTCTAGTTCAGTTCTAGTTCAGTTCTAGTTCAGTTCTAGTTCTAGTTCAGTTCTAGTTCAGTTCTAGTTCAGTTCTAGTTCAGTTCTAGTTCAGTTCTAGTTCAGTTCTAGTTCAGTTCTAGTTCAGTTCTAGTTCAGTTCTAGTTCAGTTCTAGTTCAGTTCTAGTTCAGTTCTAGTTCAGTTCTAGTTCAGTTCTAGTTCAGTTCTAGTTCAGTTCTAGTTCAGTTCTAGTTCAGTTCTAGTTCAGTTCTAGTTCAGTTCTAGTTCAGTTCTAGTTCTAGTTCAGTTCTAGTTCAGTTCTAGTTCAGTTCTAGTTCTAGTTCCGTTCTAGTTCCAGTTCTAGTTCAGTTCTAGTTAGTTCTAGTTCAGTTCTAGTTCTGTTCTAGTTCAGTTCTAGTTCTGTTCTAGTTCTGTTCTAGTTCTGTTCTAGTTCTGTTCTAGTTCTGTTCTAGTTCTGTTCTAGTTCTGTTCTAGTTCTGTTCTAGTTCAGTTCTAGTTCTGTTCTAGTTCTGTTCTAGTTCTGTTCTAGTTCTGTTCTAGTTCTGTTCTAGTTCTGTTCTAGTTCTGTTCTAGTTCTGTTCTAGTTCTGTTCTAGTTCTGTTCTAGTTCTGTTCTAGTTCTGTTCTAGTTCTGTTCTAGTTCTGTTCTAGTTCTGTTCTAGTTCTGTTCTAGTTCTGTTCTAGTTCTGTTCTAGTTCTGTTCTAGTTCTGTTCTAGTTCTGTTCTAGTTCTGTTCTAGTTCTGTTCTAGTTCTGTTCTAGTTCTGTTCTAGTTCTGTTCTAGTTCTGTTCTAGTTCTGTTCTAGTTCTGTTCTAGTTCTGTTCTAGTTCAGTTTAAAGTACCTCCCGCATATCGAAATATTATACTACTGCGGTTTTATTTTACATTTCGTTGTTATAAAAAAGGGTTTTATAGCATATTCTCTTAAAAATAGGCTATATTAAACTAAATGTGTGTTCGACACCAAAAAGGACTCTTCCACACATGTAAGTGGCTTTGTATGTGTTACAATATTTAGTCTATTGTATTCGTATACTGTTATTAACTTTATTTTATGACAACAACTACCATTTTTAACCCAATTTAATGTTTGTTGCACAGCGGCTGGTTGTAAAATGAAAAACCCGTATGTGTAAATGTAATGGAGTGTTGAATATGTGTGTGTGTTTATTTTGAAAAAAAGTTGTGTAAATTTCATTTGTTTTTACAACCATTGAACGTTTTGAAAGTAAAACCGCAAATATTAGTTTTTGTGTTTGATTATAGCCAGTTCTGTGAGTGTTTACTTGTTAAATGTCGCGGTTGAAATAATTGTTGTAGGCTGTGGTGGAAATACATTTATGCTTGTAGACATATACATAAGTAAATACCTACATACATATACAAATGTTGGTAACTGTAAAATTACATAAAAACATATGTAGAATAAATAAGTATAATTACTCTTACCTTAAGGTTAACATTTAGTTTCAAATTTTCGAAGCATATTTAGGTTTAATAAAATTCTCTAACATGGCTCGTTATGAAACCTTTACAATTTAACTTATACAACGATTAATAAAAGAAAATTTAACTGGAGCTAGTAATTGTTTCCTTTTTACATATTAATACTTTTCTCGGATTTATGAGCCAATTTAATTGTATTTTGAAATCCTTTTCAAAACTTTCTTCCTTTGTTTCAATTTCCCCTAAAACTTTTGAAATGTTTGAGTGTAATGTTTGTTCTATGTATGTTTTAAAATTTAATTAACCATTTATGTATGGTGTTAATTAAGTTTAAATAGTTTTGTTTTAATATTGTTATTCATACTTAATATCAATTTACTAGGTTTCCTGTTTCAAACATATTAGTTAAATTTTCGATTGTTCATTGCCCAAAACCGCAATTTAATTTTGTTCAATTGTCTTTTAATTTTATTTAAATCACTTTAATATAATTACAACATTTTTGGAAAATTTGTGTAATAAAATCAAATTTAAGTTTTATCCCACAAATATCATGTCGAACACACACATTTAAATATTAGAGCCAACAAGGCTAAAGTACTTAAGTCGTTCTCAGTATGAAATTGTGTACAATTCTAGTTTTGCTTTAGTACTGTTCTAGTTTTGTTTTAGTTCTGTTCTAGTTCTGTTCTAGTTCTGTTCTAGTTCTGTTTCTAGTTATGTTCTAGTTATGTTCTAGTTCTGTTCTAGTTCTGTTCTAGTTCTGTTCTAGTTCTGTTCTAGTTCTGTTCTAGTTCTGTTCTAGTTCTGTTCTAGTTCTGTTCTAGTTCTGTTCTAGTTCTGTTCTAGTTCTGTTCTAGTTCTGTTCTAGTTCTGTTCTGTTCTAGTTCTAGTTCTGTTCTAGTTTCTAGTTCTAGTTCTAGTTCAGTTCTGTTCTAGTTCTGTTCTAGTTCTGTTCTAGTTCTGTTCTAAGTTCTGTTCTAGTTCTGTTCTAGTTCTGTTCTAGTTCTGTTCTAGTTCTGTTCTAGTTCTGTTCTAGTTCTGTTCTAGTTCTGTTCTAGTTCTGTTCTAGTTCTGTTCTAGTTCTGTTCTAGTTCTGTTCTAGTACTGTTCTAGTTCTGTTCTAGTTCTGTTCTAGTTCTGTTCTAGTTCTGTTCTAGTTCTGTTCTAGTTCTGTTCTAGTTCTAGTTCTAGTTCTGTTTCTAGTTCTGTTCTAGTTCTGTTCTAGTTCTGTTCTAGTTCTGTTCTAGTTCTGTTCTAGTTCTGTTCTAGTTCTGTTCTAGTTCTGTTCTAGTTCTGTTCTAGTTCTGTTCTAGTTCTGTTCTAGTTCTGTTCTAGTTCTGTTCTAGTTCTGTTCTAGTTCTGTTCTAGTTCTGTTTCTAGTTCTGTTCTAGTTCTGTTCTAGTTCTGTTCTAGTTCTGTTCTAGTTCTGTTCTAGTTTCTGTTCTAGTTCTGTTCTAGTTCTGTTCTAGTTCTGTTCTAGTTCTGTTCTAGTTCTGTTCTAGTTCTGTTCTAGTTCTGTTCTAGTTCTGTTCTAGTTCTGTTCTAGTTCTGTTCTAGTTCTGTTCTAGTTCTGTTCTAGTTCTGTTCTAGTTCTGTTCTAGTTCTGTTCTAGTTCTGTTCTAGTTCTGTTCAGTTCGGTTCTAGTTCTGTTCTAGTTCTGTTCTAGTTCTGTTCTAGTTCTGTTCTAGTTCTGTTCTAGTTCTGTTCTAGTTCTGTTCTAGTTCTGTTCTAGTTCTGTTCTAGTTCTGTTCTAGTCTGTTCTAGTTCTGTTCTAGTTCTGTTCTAGTTCTGTTCTAGTTCTGTTCTAGTTCTGTTCTAGTTCTGTTCTATTCTGTTCTAGTCTGTTCTAGTTCTGTTCTAGTTCTGTTCTAGTTCTGTTCTAGTTCTGTTCTAGTTCTGTTCTAGTTCTGTTCTAGTTCTGTTCTAGTTCTGTTCTAGTTCTGTTCTAGTTCTGTTCTAGTTCTATTCTAGTTCTGTTCTAGTTCTGTTCTAGTTTTGTTCTAGTTTTGTTCTAGTTCTGTTCTAGTTCCGTTCTAGTTCTGTTCTAGTTCTGTTCTAGTTATTAAAGGCTAATTAAAAATATGTTTTTTTCATTTTTTTAGCACGATGACCCATAGTTTAATGACGCTGGATATATCGGGGAACAAAATGCAACAAATACCATATGAGGCATTACAAAAAACTACACTCACTCACCAGGCTGGTGGCACAAAGGTAAGTCAATTTTAATGAGTAGAAATAAAGTGTCAAAGCATTCATCTGAAGTGAAAATTATCGAAATTGTTAGAACCTTAAAAACTTACGTTCGGTTGTGTGATGTAAAAATATTAGAGCAGAGATAGGCAGTGAGAGAGAGTTAGCTCTCCAAATTGTTTGCTTTCTTCTGTACACAAGTATGCGTTTAGTTACTTATATGAGAAGAGAAATAGCTTTCAGCCTATCTCTGCGCTATAGCGAGGAAATTTATATGTCTCTTGACATCATGTTTAATATTGAGTTCTCTAAACTCCCTGGCAAATGTTGAATTGATTTAAAATTATTTTCTATTCTACTTCTTATACTTTTAGAAATCACATAACTTCCTTGGATGTCAATTGGGAGGCTCAGTACGATACTCTGCGTTCTCTGCATTTAGCTGGTAATGATATCACCGAAGTCTCACCAACCTCGCTTCACGAATCCACAAGCGGTCTTAATCATCCCTCCTCGGCAGCCATACAAACCATAACGAGAGATGAAAATCTCAAGGGATCACATATAACCTCTAATACAATACCCGGCATGGGTCACTTAGGCAGCAGCCATCTAGCGGGAAAACCCTTCAATCGTTTACAAAAACTCCTCTGGCTAGATTTGTCGAACAATAGAATCTATCACATTACCCCGAATTTTCTACCCAGAAGTCTGATAACTATAGATTTATCGGGAAATCTATTGGCCACATTTCCCCATCAACTGTTCGAACATTTATACGACTTACGTATTATATCTTTGAGAGATAATCTCTTGCGCAGTGTACAAAATAAGGAGCTAAGGCAAGTGCGCATGCATTTAGAGAAATTGGATATGGGTCAGAACTTAATAGATGTCTTGGATACGGATTGTTTTCAAACCAATTACTCGGATGTACATATAAGGGCATTGAATTTGGAAAAGAATTATATTAGAGAATTACCGCCAACCGTATTTAAGGAGATAGGCATAGTGCATCTGGTATTGGCCTTTAATGTTATCGAACGTATACACATGCAAGCCTTTGAGGGTATAGAGGACAGTTTAGAGTATTTGGATTTGGAAAGGAATTATTTGAATTCAGTGCCGGGAGCTTTAAGAAAATTGAATAAGTTGAAGTATTTATATCTAACTTCCAATAATATTTGTCAATTACAAAATCTACCAGAGAATACGGATCACTTGAGAGTGTTGTCTTTATCGGGCAATAATTTTACCATGATTCCTGTAGTGGGTTTAAAGAATTACACCAATCTGTCTTATTTGAATATGGGTTACAATTCCATAACGGATATACCCGAGGGCATATTTTTGGTGGATGGCTGGGGCTCTAATCTGCAGACTATATTATTAAGGAATAATAAGATTACTCATTTGCATTTGGGCTCCTTTGCAGGATTGGATCAGATACAGGAAATATCTTTAAGTTTCAATGACATTAATATCCACCATCCCATGGTTTTTGAGAATGTCTCGAAATCTTTGAAAATATTGGAATTATCTTTTGCGGTGTTTCCAGCGCGCAGTATGGAATCCATAGATCCTTTAGATGCTTTATATCCTTTGTCACAACTTATGTGGTTGGGTTTGGACAACAATAATCTTAAGACTCTAAATAATGAATCATTTTCGAATATGAGAGAGCTTTCCTATATCAATTTGGGTTTTAACCAGTTGAAATCTTTGCCCAAAGGTTTATTCATACCAGATGTACATTCTCATTTGGTGGAAATAGATTTGGGCTATAATTCTTTGGAACGCATAGCAGCTCGAACATTTTATAATTTGGGTGATTTGCAAACTCTCAACTTACAATCGAATAAAATTAAAATCATAGAGAAAGATGCCTTTTACAATTTGGAATTTCTAAGATATATCGATCTTTCCTTTAATAAAATATCCAACATATCGCATCAGGCCTTTACCATATTACCCAATTTGGCTTCTTTGGATTTAATGTTTAATAATCTGTGTTCCTTCTCCCTGAAATCGTTTCATTTTGTGTCCAACACCACTACACCTTTAAAGCTGAATTTAACCTATAATCGTATAGCCTATTTTGAGGATATATTGACGTCTTATATGTATATCTATCATCTGGATATGAGCAATAATTTAATCTCACGCACCGATAGTTTTACCAATTTGGCCAATACCTTAAGATTCCTGAACTTGGCCAACAATGATATACAATCTTTAGCCAATCATGCTTTTGGTGATTTGGAATTTTTGGAAATTCTCAATCTAGCAAATAATAACATTACTTCCTTGCGCCGCCGAAGTTTCCAGGGTTTGAATTCTTTGCAAGAATTGGATTTAAGTTTTAATAAATTGGATCAACTGCAAGTGGAACAGTTTTCAAATCTGCGCAAATTAAGGATATTAAAGATAAATGCCAATAAACTCAAAGCCTTGCCAAGGGAAGTGTTCATGAATACCCGCCTTGAATACTTAGATATTTCCGACAACCAGTTGACCGTTTGGCCAGTGCCTGCTTTTTCCGATGTGGGCTTTACTTTGCGCAGCATACAAATGTCCTCCAATATGCTGGAATATTTGGATTCCAGTATGTTTATCAATTCCCAATTTCTCTATGACATCAATTTGAGTAACAACAAAATCACCGTCTTACCCGACAATACCTTCAGTTTTCTCAACAATCTTACCAATCTAGATCTATCCGCAAATCCCCTAGTCACCACCAATCTAAAAGAAATATTTCTGCATACACCCCGTCTACGTCGCCTTAAAATCTACAATATGGGTCTTTATATACTACCACAACTTAACTTGCCACTACTCTCATATCTAGATGTCAGCGGTAATTATCTTCAAGAACTTTCCTCTCTACACGAAATGCGCCAATTAAGATTTGTTAACATCTCTCACAATAAAATCGTTAATGCTTCCTGTGCTGTAGAACATTTACCCAATTCGGTGAGAGTTCTGGACTTAGCCCACAATCCTTTAAGAAGAATCTCCATACACGATATGGCCACTTTGAGACACTTATCCGATCTCAATCTACTAGATGTAAAAATCATCAATCCTTTAGCCTTTAGTAAACTGAAATCCTTAAGGAAACTAACACTAACAGCTCACTCTAATTTAGCTGATATAGTCTCTCGCATCCCAGGACTACAAGAACTACGACTACACTGCCTGGACTCGAATATAGGTCCTCAACTATTTCAAAAACTCGCCAATAACACCAAACTTCAACTGGTTGAACTGTACGGCATGAATGTTCAGACCATATCACCCGATGCTCTAGAGGGTTTGGCGCGCAACCAAAAACTACAAGTGAAAATATCTCATACTAAAATCTCCGATCTGCCTCCGGGTATTTTCTATACACTAAGATCAGTGCCTCATTTATCTATAGATATTTCTCATAATAAAATCAATGCCTTGGCGGCGGATAGTTTCTATCCCAATAAAACCTATTGGGATACAGTGGGTACACGCAGCATTATGGGCGGTTTGGATACATCACACAATCCTTTGGAGTGTGAATGCGGTCTGGTGTGGTTCGGTCATTGGCTGAGACGATGGCTGCGTGAATCGGCTCAGATAAAGGTCATACAGAAGGATGACATGAAGAAAATGGTGCAGGTGAGTAAAATTTTAACAAATTTTAGTAAAAAAGTTAATTTTTTGTAAAAATTTAAGTTTTAAGAAAAATTTTTATTTATAGAATTTTTAACAAAAACTTGAAATTTTGGTTAAAAAATTTAATTTATTCGTAAAAGAGGAATTTTTAGTTAAAAATTGAATTTTTAGTAAAAAAAAATTGAATTTTTAGTAAAAATAAAATTTTTAGTAAAAAATTAAATTTTTAGTAAAAAATTTAATTTTAGTAAAAAATTAAATTTTTAGTAAAAATAAAATTTTTAGTAAAAAATTTAATTTTTAGTAAAAAATAAAATAGAATAGACTTGATTATAGACCGGACTACAGAATAGACTAGATTATAGACTAGACAACAGACTAGACTATAGACTAGACTATAGACTAGAATATAGAATAGACTATAGACTAGACTATAGTCTAGTCCATAGACTAGACTATGGTGTAGTCCATAGACTAGACTATAGTGTAGTCCATAGGAAATATAGTGTATTCCATGAACTGGACTATACTGTAGTCCATAGACTAGGCTATAGTGTAGTCCATAGACTAGACTATAGTTAGTCCATAGACTAGACTATAGTGTAGTCCATAGACTAGACTATAGTGTAGTCCATAGACTAGACTATAGTGTAGTCCATAGACTAGAATATAGTGTAGTCCATAGACTAGACTATAGTGTAGTCTATATACTAGACTATAGTGTAGTCCATATACTAGACTATAGTGTAGTCCATATACTAGACTATAGTGTAGTCCATATACTAGACTATAATGCAGTCCATAGACTAGGCTATAGTGTAGTCCATAGACTAGACTGTAGTGTAGTTCATATACTAGACTATAGTGTTATCCATAGACTAGACTATAGTGTAGTCGATATACAAAACTATAGTGCAGTCCATAGACTAGGCTATAGTGTTCATAGACTAGACTATAGTGTAATCCATAGACTAGAGTATAGTGTATTTCGTAGACTAGACTATAGTGTAGACCATAGACTAGGCTATATTGTAGTCCATAGACTAGACTATAGTGCAGTCCATAGTCTAGACTATAATGTAATCCATAGACTAGACTATAGTGTAGTCCATAGAATAGACTATAGTGTAGTCCATAGACTAGTCTATAGTGTAGTCTATAGACCAGTCTATAGTGTAGTCCATATACTAGACTTTAGTGTAGCCCATAGACTAGACTTTAGTGCAGTCCATAGACTAGACTATAGTGTAGTCCATAGACTAGACTATAGTGTAGTCCATAGAGTAGACTATAGTGTAGTCCATAGACTAGACTATAGTGTAGTCCATAGACTAGACTATAGTGTAGTCCATAGACTAGACTATAGTGTAGTCCATAGACTAGACTATAGTGTAGTCCATAGACTAGACTATAGTGTAGTCCATAGACTAGACTATAGTGTAGTCCATAGACTAGACTATAGTGTAGTCCATAGACTAGACTATAGTGTAGTCCATAGACTAGACTATAGTGTAGTCCATAGACTAGACTATAGTGTAGTTCATAGACTAGACTATAGTGTAGTCCATAGAGGGACGAAGCCTATTGAAAATGGTTAAGAGCGGTCCATTATTTCAACTAGCCCCCATACAACTGAACCTCCGAATAGGGCTTTTAAACCTTGTAATCAAACTACAGGTCGCAATTTTGGAGATAATTCAATGAAAGTTGGCACATGATCTTTTATGGTACCGTAGACGAAGCTTATTGAAAATAAGATAAGATCGGTCAATTATTTCACCTAGCCCCCATTCAACTGAACCCGCCGAATAGGGCTTTTAAGTTCATAATTATGTTTAATATACTCATATATCGACAAAAAGCTGCAAAAACCAAGTTGTATACAAGACCTGATGACCCTCACGAATTCCATAATAATAGGTTCTCATATGACCCTAGCCCCTATGAAAAGCCCCCATCAAAATTTCACTTAAATGTCCACAATTTTATTCAACAATAAACGGCTTAAGTATGTATATCTAAGGCAAGGTACAATTCAACTTAAATGCTTTATTATGTCAACTAATTCACATTATATTTTTGTCAAAGGTGTAGGGTATTATATGGTCGGCCTCGCCCGACTATAATTTCTTACTTGTTTTGTATTGTTTTAATTTTTGATTTTTTCTATTTAATCTGATTTCTTAAAATTATTTTAATTTTTATTTTCTTTTCTTTTTAATTTTTTTAAAGCTTCCCCTAAGTTCAACTGATTTACGCGTAAGCGTTTTTATGTTTATTTCAATATATTTTTGTTTAATTATTTAATATTATTAAAAAAAACATATTTTTTTTTTTAATTTTACAGAGAGCACGTGCCAATACCTGCCATGATCCCACCACTGGCAAACAATTACCCATATTGGAGATCTTTCCCGAAGACTTACTATGTCAAGCCAGTGCTTTAAGTAGTTCCAGTGAAAAGCTCTTTCTGATATCGTTTGTGGTAATTATAGTGCCGTTATTTGGTATGACACTTTGATAATCTTAAAATTATTGGAAAAAGTATTATAAATAGAGCTTTAAGTTGAGAAAAAAACTAAAGAACAAAAAGCTTTTCTTTTAAGAGAACTATTAAAGTGTAAATTAAACTAAAGGGAAAGTTGTAAGAAATTCATATAAAGTTCAGAAGGAAACCTAAGATTTTAAGTGAAAACCCCAATGTATTTATTGTAAAAATTAGTTTAACAGAGAAGGGAAACCAATGCTACAGTGTACAGTTTATAAAATTTAAAACAAAATTAAATGAAAAATTGTTAAAGTTTTATACCCCCAATTAAATAATAAGTAAAGTTACACACGATATTATTTATAATAAAATTAAGTAATGTTATTGCCATTTAAGGAATTTATTTCATAAGTAAATTAAATTATTATGATTATTATTAAAAATAATAATAATAATACCTAAAAATTTAATTATAGAAATAATAGTAAAATTATTATTGCAACAGTAATAAAAAGGGCCATTGATTCCTAAAATACTTATTGTATTGTAAAACAATATACATTTAAATATATATAAATATAATTAAATATATTATTGTAATAACTACACACTTAAATATAATTAAAAGTAATTAGTTTATAAATAATTATAAAAATTTAGTTATCAAAAAATGAATAAAACAAGAAATTAGCCAAGCATACAATAATAACAACAGCAACAATATATTTAGATTTAAATAACAACAAATTACAATTTGCAAGAAATATATTTAACAATAATAAAAAACAACAACAAGATAACTATTATTAAACAAAGTAAACTACAGTTTTCAAATTTAAATATATCGAGAGAAAAACTATATTTTTGCTGGTCACAGCACTAATTCTTTCAGAATGATTGCTGTCAGCTAGACTATAGTGTGTTTTTGTGCAGAAAAAGTTAATTAAAGTGCAATAAGTTTAGGAAATATTAAGTTTTAAAATTAAGGAAATTAAATTATTTTTTTTTTTAACTTTTTCAAATTTCTTATCAATAATTTTATGAAAAGTTTTTACACTTTCATTATTCTGCAGCAAATGAGAATTTTTTGTATAAAAAAGTTTCAGGAACAATTTGTTCAGTTCTGTTCTAGTTCTGTTCTAGTTCTGTTCTAGTTCTGTTCTAGTTCTGTTCTAGTTCTGTTCTAGTTCTGTTCTAGTTCTGTTCTAGTTCTGTTCTAGTTCTGTTCTAGTTCTGTTCTAGTTCTGTTCTAGTTCTGTTCTAGTTCTGTCTAGTTCTGTTCTAGTTCTGTTCTAGTTCTGTTTCTAGTTCTAGTTCTGTTCTAGTTCTGTTCTAGTTCTGTTCTAGTTCTGTTCTAGTTCTAGTTCTGTTCTAGTTCTGTTCTAGTTCTGTTCTAGTTCTGTTCTAGTTCTGTTCTAGTTCTGTTCTAGTTCTGTTTCTAGTTCTGTTCTAGTGTCTGTTCTAGTTCTGTTCTAGTTCTGTTTCTAGTTCTGTTCTAGTTCTGTTCTAGTTCTGTTCTAGTTCTGTTCTAGTTCTGTTCTAGTTCTGTTCTAGTTCTTGTTCTAGTTCTGTTCTAGTTCTGTTCTAGTTCTGTTCTAGTTCTGTTCTAGTTCTTCTAGTTCGTTCTAGTTCTGTTCTAGTTCTGTTCTAGTTCTGTGTCTAGTTCTGTTCTAGTTCTGTTCTAGTTCTGTTCTAGTTCTGTTCTAGTTCTGTTCTAGTTCTGTTCTAGTTCTGTTCTAGTCTGTTCTAGTTCTGTTCTGTTCTAGTTCTGTTCTAGTTCTGTTCTAGTTCTGTTCTAGTTCTGTTCTAGTTCTGTTCTAGTTCTGTTCTAGTTCTGTTCTAGTTCTGTTCTAGTTCTGTTCTAGTTCTGTTCTAGTTCTGTTCTAGTTCTGTTCTAGTTCTGTTCTAGTTCTGTTCTAGTTCTGTTCTAGTTCTGTTCTAGTTCTGTTCTAGTTCTGTTCTAGTTCGTTCTAGTTCTGTTCTAGTTCTGTTCTAGTTCTGTTCTAGTTCTGTTCTAGTTCTGTTCTAGTTCTGTTCTAGTTCTGTTCTAGTCTGTTCTAGCTCTGTTCTAGTTCTGTTCTAGTTCTGTTCTAGTTCTGTTCTAGTTCTGTTCTAGTTCTGTTCTAGTTCTGTTCTAGTTCTGTTCTAGTTCTGTTCTAGTTCTGTTCTAGTTCTGTTCTAGTTCTGTTCTAGTTCTGTTCTAGTTCTGTTCTAGTTCTGTTCTGTTAGTTCTGTTCTAGTTCTGTTCGTTCTAGTTCTGTTCTAGTTCTGTTCTAGTCTCTTCTAGTTCTGTTCTAGTTCTGTTCTAGTTCTGTTCTAGTTGTTCTAGTTCTGTTCTAGTTCTGTTCTAGTTCTGTTCTAGTTTCTGTTCTAGTTCTGTTCTAGTTCTGTTCTAGTTCTGTTCTAGTTCTGTTCTAGTTCTGTTCTAGTTGTTCTAGTTCTGTTCTAGTTCTGTTCTAGTTCTGTTCTAGTTCTGTTCTAGTTCTGTTCTAGTTCTGTTCTAGTTCTGTTCTAGTTCTGTTCTAGTTCTGTTCTAGTTCTGTCTAGTTCTGTTCTAGTTCTGTCGTTCTAGTTCTGTTCTAGTTCTGTTCTAGTTCTGTTCTAGTTCTGTTCTAGTTCTGTTCTAGTTCTGTTCTAGTTCTGTTCTAGTTCTAGTTCTGTTCTAGTTCTGTTCTAGTTCTGTTCTAGTTCTGTTCTAGTTCTGTTCTAGTTCTGTTAGTTCTGTTCTAGTTCTGTTCTAGTTCTGTTCTAGTTCTGTTCTAGTTCTGTTCTAGTTCTGTTCTAGTTCTGTTCTAGTTCTGTTCTAGTTCTGTTCTAGTTCTGTTCTAGTTCTGTTCTAGTTCTGTTCTAGTTCTGTTCTAGTTCTGTTCTAGTTCTGTTCTAGTTCTGTTCTAGTTCTGTTCTAGTTCTGTTCTAGTTCTAGTTCTGTTCTAGTTCTGTTCTAGTTCTGTTCTAGTTCTGTTCTAGTTCTGTTCTAGTTCTGTTCTAGTTCTGTTCTAGTTCTGTTCTAGTTCTGTTCTAGTTCTGTTCTAGTTCTAGTTCTGTTCTAGTTCTGTTCTAGTTCTGTTCTAGTTCTGTTCTAGTTATGTTCTAGTTCTGTGCTAGTTCTGTTCTAGTTCTGTTCTAGTTCTGTTCTAGTTCTGTTCTAGTTCTGTTCTAGTTCTGTTCTAGTTCTGTTCTAGTTCTGTTCTAGTTCTGTTCTAGTTCTGTTCTAGTTCTGTTCTAGTTCTGTTCTAGTTCTGTTCTAGTTCTGTTCTAGTTCTGTTCTAGTTCTGTTCTAGTTCTGTTCTAGTTCTGTTCTAGTTAGTTGTTCTAGTTCTGTTCTAGTTCTGTTCTAGTTCTGTTCTAGTTTGTTCTAGTTCTGTTCTAGTTCTGTTCTAGTTCTGTTCTAGTTCTGTTAGTTTGTTCTAGTTCTGTTCTAGTTCTGTTCTAGTTCTGTTCTAGTTCAGTTCTAGTTTGTTCTAGTTCAGTTCTAGTTCAGTTCTAGTTCAGTTCTAGTTCAGTTCTAGTTCAGTTCTAGTTCAGTTCTAGTTCAGTTCTAGTTCAGTTCTAGTTCAGTTCTAGTTCAGTTCTAGTTTCAGTTCTAGTTCAGTTCTATTCAGTTCTAGTTCAGTTCTAGTTCAGTTCTAGTTCAGTTCTAGTTAGTTCTAGTTCAGTTCTAGTTCAGTTCTAGTTCAGTTCTAGTTCAGTCTAGTTCAGTTCTAGTTCAGTTCTAGTTCAGTTCGTTCAGTTCTAGTTCAGTTCTAGTTCAGTTCTAGTTCTAGTTAGTTTCTAGTTCTAGTTCAGTTCTGTTAGTTCTAGTTCAGTTCTAGTTCAGTTCTAGTTCAGTTCTAGTTTGTTCTAGTTCAGTTCTAGTTCAGTTCTAGTTCAGTTCTAGTTCAGTTCTAGTTCAGTTCTAGTTCAGTTCTAGTTCAGTTAGTTCAGTTCTAGTTCAGTTCTAGTTCAGTTCTAGTTCAGTTCTAGTTCAGTTCTAGTTCAGTTCTAGTTCAGTTCTAGTTCAGTTCTAGTTCAGTTCTAGTTCAGTTTTAGTTCAGTTCTGGTTCAGTTAGAGTTTTGTTTTTCAGTCTTTTGTTTTTTAATTTATTTAATTAAAAATAAAATATTTAGTTTAAAAAGACAATCGTGATACTAATTGTAGAACATAAAAAAAACTATTAACTAATAGTTAAAATTTAAACTAAATAAAACAATATATAAAATATACTAAAATAAATTAATTTAAGCAAATAACACTCTATAAATAGAAGTAGAAACTAAAAAATAAAGAATTTAGCATTATGTATAAAAAATAAAATAATTACAATAATTATTTTTTTTAATTTTGAAAATTCTGTTTCAGTTCTTTTGTAAAGAAATTGTATTGTAGACATATTTAACAATTGTTTTAATTTCTTTAGCATTATTTTGTAGTTTCAGTTTTCTATTACCTAACTGTTTGTATATAATATACATATATATTTGAAAAAAACCATATTAACAAAAAGTCCAATTTTTAAAACAAAACTAACAATAACAACAATTAAAACATAATTAACAATATACTGAAATATTTAAATTAAAAGAACTGATGCATTTATAATAAATTGATTGATATTATTACAGATTTTAACTTATAATCAATGATTTAATTCAGAAGTGTTCAATATTGGTAATTTAAAGTTAACTTGATTTTTCGATTGGAATAATAAACAAAATTCTAAGATAGAAGGACCGTTAAAGCTTAAATTTAAATGTGAAACAATAAAAGGTAGCATACCTTTATGGGCAGTTGAACATATTATTATTTATTACTTTTATTTCAAATAATTTCATTAGTTTGCTTTCACACAAATTTTGCAGCCCTAAAAGTATGCCACACAAACGCTTATGTCCAATGGTCCTTCGAGCTTTGGTTCGATATCTAATATTAATTATTTTGAAGTTTGTACAAGTTGCTTTATTGAAGTTCAGTTTATTCCTTTATTTATTCTAAATTATTTTCTCTTATTTTGGCATTTTTTAAATATTTTTAAATTAATTATAAATTTCATTTATTTTAATATTATTTTTATGAAATTTAACAAAGTTTTACATCAAAGCAAACACTTATATTGCATTTAGTTGATTTTCTATTAAAAAATATTTTTTAGTAATTAAAGGAAAACACTTTGTAAATAATATGACACAATATAATGAAAAATAAATTACACGAATTTTTAACCAAAACAAAAACAAATATAAAATAAAATAAAATATATATATAATTAAAACGAAATGAAAGCATGTGAATAATAATTATAAAATAATAATGAAAAGGAAAGAAGAAAAAAACATAAAAACAAGAAAAATAAAATGAAAAATATTAAACAAAAATTGCCAAGTGGTTTTTATTCAAATGGGGCCTGCAATAACACACTAAACAACTCTAACTAAAGGTTTGTATAAAACAGAAAGAGCCATACATTGAACCATGATTTAGTCCTATTTCTATTTAAGATTAGTAATACCATAAACCATTAAGTTGATTTGCACAAAAATATAACTTAAATTTAACTAAAATTCAAATTCCTTTGCCTACATTAAGGCTTAACCAAAAAAATTAAATAAACACATAATTTAAGCCGAAAAAAACACAACAACAACATTCAAAAATGAACTCTAGAAATAAGTTAAATATATATGATTCTTTTGAAGAACAGATTAACAAGAAAAAAACACATATCAAACAAATAACACATAACATTTTTCCTTTTAACTATTTCTGTTTTAAACTCTTGTATTTTATTTTAGCTAAGCATACTTTTGGGGAGGCTTTATACACACACACAAAAGAGGACATTTTTAAAACATTTTTTGAGGTTTCTTTATAGCATAATGTATGCATGTCTGAGTGGTAGAGAGTAAAATTCCATATACTAAAGCCATAATGACAAGAGTAAAAAGGTTATGAACAAATCCTTTTAGGCTGGAAAAATAAAAA